GATTGCTAAGAAGGGGAGGTCATTTTAGGGTCATTTTGGGGTAATTTTGGGGTAATTTTGGGGTCATTTTAGGGTCATTTTAAGGTCATTTGAAGCTGCACTGCCTCCACAGACCTTGTGAGTTCTTGTTCCAGAACCCTCGGCTATTGGACGATGTCAGCTTCCACCCCTGTGTGCGTTTCAAGCGCTGGGAGTCAGAGAGGATCCTCTCCTTCATCCCTCCTGACGGGAATTTCCGCCTGCTGTCCTACCATGTCAGTGCTCAGAAGTAGGTGATGAGTCTGCTGCTGGGAGTTATGAAATTTGGGTCTTTCTGGCTAGGAAGAGGATAAAAGAAGGAACTTTTAAAGATGAGGTGGCATGTTGAGCCAGGTGAAGTAGAGGTGCATGGTGATTTGTGTTTTTCTTTTTTTTTTAAATTACACTTTTTCTCCTTGTGATTCTGTCATTTCTTTCTGACCAGCCAGCATTTTTCAAAGACTGCTAGCAGATAAACAAAGTAGATAGTGAAAGAATTGGACAGTGTGAAGTAATCAGGCTGTTGATTTCATATTTTAGAATAAAACAAGATAGTTTGGTGCTCCTGTTAGGTTTTTGACATCTCTCCTAATGGAACCACAAGTTCTTGTCCAGGTTTGCATTCTTTTCTAGAAGCAGCTTCCCAAGTACTATTTGGAGTTACAGTTGCTGAAGAATTTTGCTAGACCTTTGTCAGATTTATCTCTAGTAGGTGAAAAGGAATGGCAACTGCAACCAAAAGCACAAATATGAAGTTCAAGTGGTGTTGCACTGCCAGGAACTGCTTGCCAACCTGGCTGTGACAAGCAAAACCATTTCTTTTGGTCAAGCTTCCTGTTTTATTGGATGTAGTTCCCTTTTCTGACCAAACAGGACACAGCAAGCTTGATTATAAAAAGTGTAATTAAGACATGAGAATGGAATCCTGACTTTGCTCCTAGCTCAAACAAACGAGTGGAGCATTTCCTTCTCTTCTAAGCAAATATGAAGATGAGAGATTGACCAGGACTTTCTGTTTGTGTGTTTATTCTAGCCTTGTGGCAATTCCTGTCTATGTTAAACACAACATCAGTTTTCGTGACAGCAGCTCCCTGGGACGCTTTGAGATCACAGTGGGGCCAAAGCAGACCATGGGGAAGACTGTAGAGGGAGTGATGGTCACTAGCCAGATGCCAAAAAGTGTCTTAAATATGACCCTCACACCCTCCCAGGGAACACATGCCTTTGATCCAGTTACAAAGGTGAGAGAAATTAGATTTTTTTCTCTTTTTTTAATCTTTCTTATCTATCAGAAAATGCATTCAACCTGTTCATGCTTACTTCCACGAACACTGCTTTGTTGAAGGCACTATGTTGGGCTGAGAACTTTTTCTGGGTTTTCTTAATCCCCAGAACAAATCCCTTGGTGTCTGAGTGGGTTGTAGTTCTGGCCACTTGGTGTGTGAAGAAAATCCCAGCACTGCTCTTGTATAATGGGACATCAATCATGTGGATGCCTTACAAATTTATCTTCTTGTCCTGCCCAGTGCTGCATGTCAGTCTTTTGCAAACACTGAGGGTTGGGTAATGGTTTTGGTTTGGTTTGGGGTGTTCTGGTTTTGTTGTTTGAACCTGAGGAGGTAACTTTTGTTTTTCTTCTTGCAAACATTATTCTGATGGGCTTACCCTTTAGCACACTTAGTAGAAATAGCATTCATAGAAGGCTTTTGGGGAGCCTCATGGAAAGAGAGGGAGAACAAAGGTTTGGAGTGAGGTATCCCCTCCTTAATCCTGTGTCTGGCCAATATGAAAGGCAAGATACTAAGAAAAAGGCATTTTTCATAGAGAAACATTAAAAGCTGTCCTTGGAAGGGAACTCTTCTTTCCAAGGTGCAGCATTTGAGTTTCACTGCTGCATTTTCTGCTCCTTTAAGTTACTGTCATGGGATGTTGGGAAAATAAACCCCCAGAAACTGCCAAGTCTGAAGGGGAGTGTGAGCCTGCAAGCTGGGACATCGAAACCAGATGAAAACCCCACCATTAACCTGCAGTTTAAAATTCAGCAGTTGGCTATATCTGGTAAGTGACTCTGAGGTAAAGAAGTGGAATGGTCTCTGCTCTGCTGCTGCTCATTCTGCATGTAGCTGAAGTAAGTTTTCAAAACTTCTGAAGTACATTCTCCCTGAAACATGTTCTTCAAGCAGAAAAGTTGTCAGCTTTGACTACAGATACATGGATTTGTTCTTTCTTGTGGTCTGTGAAACAACTTGCCTGCATTTCATTGCATTTTATGCTTACAGGCCTCTAAAGAAAATTAAAGGTATGGATGTGTTTGTAAAGAATGATTCTAACAATGAGCAGGTGTCAGCTTTTCTCCATTCCATCTACTGCTTGCTAAAACTTTCCCTGTGCTCTCTGCAGCACCAATATGATCTGTCCCTTATCCCAAAGGCTTTCCAGCTTTGTTTGTGGCAGCAGTCAGTCTCATGCAGTGTTTGTTTGCCTCTAGGACTGAAGGTGAATCGCCTGGACATGTATGGGGAGAAGTACAAGCCATTCAAGGGGATCAAATACATGACTAAGGCTGGCAAGTTCCAAGTGCGAACCTAGAGGCTCCTGCTAGCAAGGAAGAGCACTTCTCCTACTGCCCTTGTCCCTGGCTCTTGGATGCAGCCTCTTATCCCATCCATCTCTTTAGGGTTGCTCCCTTGTCTGTAGTAGCATAAGCAGGAAAGCCAGTGCTCAGAGTGCTGGAAAGCAGGGAAAAGTAAGGTTGACCTGAAACCACCTCATCCCTACCTGAGTCTGAAGTATTTGGAACAACAGTAGATGGGAGAGTTGCTCAGGTCCCTTGAGATTAGCAAGTCAGCTATGTAAGCTTGTATCACCTTCATTTTGCTGTCTTAGAGGAAATTCTAGGGATTTATGGCCTTTTGTAGCTCCTCTTCCTTGTATTTTGTTTGGCTTTTATCCTGTTGTACGTGCTACAAAGTTGAATTTCCACAAATTTCAGTGTGATGATCCAGCATCTGCATTCCTGTATCACTGGGTGTTAGGGTGTAGAGCTGTGTAGCTCTTGCCAGCAGGGAGAACATTTCACTGTTCTGCCTCAAAAGGACTGGAAGGAACTGCAGGATTGTTCTACCCAGGATGGGAAGTTGAGAAGCCTGAGATTGGGAATGGTGCCACAAAAGAAAGAAGGGAAGAATTGCATTCTTTAGGTATTTCATAAGGTGTCCTGATCATCAAGGATCTTGAGTCTCTGAATACAGACTTGAAGCACATTCAGATCTTGTAACTGATGGGCAGTGGTATCTCCATGTCATTCTGCTTCTCCTCTTATTTCACCAGTGTTTGAAGGTAGGAATTCTCCTAGCTTATTGGGGGAATCAGAAGAGACACACAGTGGAGCTTCTGTGGAGACAGCACTGATGGAATTTGAAGCTGTGGCTGCATGAAGATAACCCCTGTCCTAGTAACTTGTTGGAACCTCTTTTTGCCTCTCCTTTCCTATTGCAAATGATGGTGATAGTGCTGTTTTCCTGCTCACTGATGTCTTCCTTGGAGATAATTGTGACCTGGTACCTTTGCAGTGTTCCTCCTGTCCTACCTCATTTCAGTTTCTGTACCAGTCAGGTGCTGTGCAGATGGATTCAAACCTATGCCAGGTTTTTCACTGGGATCATCCCTTCCTCAGGAGCTGTTGCTGTATCTGCCCATCCCAGGCTGTGGTGCATCCCTCTGTACAGCAGGAGTAGGAAATGAGAGGCACCTGCCCTGTTCATATGGTCTGTCACAGGCTCTTTGGTCACTGCATGCCAGTGGATTTTCTCTTGCCAGCAGAGCTTGCACTGAGCTGCTGCACACATGACCACACACGTGTGGCTGTGGGGTCCAGCATGTGCAGTTCATGTTTGTGAACAGGACAGGGTGACCCTGAACCAGGGAGGGCATTCATTCCACCTTGCATGTGGTGGACACTTCATGAGGGGCCTCTTGCTCGTGGGATTACTGCTTCCTGTGCAGCTGAGGGGTTCCATGGCAGGTGGAATTCTGCTGAGGTGATGTTACTGCTGAGCATGTTCAGTGCAAACAAATCCTTCAACAGGGGCCTCAATAAAATGGATTTTTACATGTCATCTGTGTCATTTCAGAGTGCTTTGTGCAGGTTTTATAAGAAATAAAGTTGGTATTTGAGGAGGAATGTAAATTATGCCAATTTGATTGTGTACAGTGGGTGCCTTAGGGAGATAAATGTCTTTATGCAGTTGGCACTGTAAACCTGGGACTAAGTTGCTGTCTGAAAAACTGAAACTAATTGCTTTCTTGGTCATTTTTCTTAGTGTTTCCCAAAAGGAGTGCTGAGCACTTCCTAGAACCTCAGGTGAAAATGTCTTTAGGAATGCAGCTGAACCATTTTTGTTTACTGTGTTGGGTAAACAACAGCACTTGCATGCTAAGGGCAGTGCTTTGATTATGAAGACAATTAAATACCTCACCACCTTCCTGCTCCTAAAGTACTGATACCATCCTTTGGCTTTGTAGCTTTGATTTTTATAGGATCTTTTATTTACTGAAGTGATTCATGTTACTGAAGATTCTGAAAGGTTTCTTACATACATTAGGGCATCAGGCCCTTCTGACTATACCAGTCTGAGATGGCTGCAAGTTCCTGTGAGGATGGAGCAGGGCAGGAAGGGGAAATGAACAACTTCAATGACAGAAGTTGGGCATATGAAGGACTTCTGGGGGGGAAGCATGAGGTGCAGCTGTGTACTTCAGTTACTAAAGATGCTGATGTCAAGCCAGGGTTCTGAAACAGCTTGAGTGTGGCAATGTCAGCTGCAAAGTCAGATGGAAGCAAGCAGGCAGATGGCAGTGGTTATTCTTAGATCTTGTCTCAAGATGGTGCTGCAAGAGGACAAGTAGGGATAGAAACTCTGTAAGAAGTGGGAAAGCTGATGAAAAGATGGAAACCATCTCAGGGATTTCTGAGATACTGATTGATGATAAAACTACATTTATTTTGTACCCTCAATACAATGTTTTCCTTTTGTAAAATGGTAGTTCCACCTTTCTTTTCTTCTCAAAACCAAAAAGAAGCTCTCAGAGAGGCTTCACTCTTAGGATGGGCATAGATGGCACTTGGCATCATGTGGCAGCTGCAGTGCAAGGAAATAATGCTGATTACTGAGATTCTGGATCATGGTGACTTGGTTGTACCTGTCTTGTTTCCTGTAAAAGGACAAAGGCAGCCTTGTGATACCTGATTTGCCCTTCACTTGTGGATGTAAATCTAGCAGGCACTTAAAACAGCTACCAATCCACTTGTCCTTTGTTTTGACCTGCTGCACAGGAGAGAGAGCTTTTGCTTCCTATCACATGATAATGCATGGAAATTTAACAGTCAAAAATATGCATTGATTCTGTGGCAGATCAAGCCAGTATTAAAATTTTTACCTATTCCATTACCAGGAGCAAAACCAAGTGAAAGAATAAAATGTCCTAATAATTAAACCATCCTGAATCTGCTCAGAGATTTTAAGGTCAAACTCTGTTAATTAATTGGTTCCAAACTGAAGAAGTAAGAAGTATATTAATCTGGAAATAAGCAGCCTGTGCCTACAGCTTTTTGTTCTTTCTATTGGGAACCAGCTTCTATTGAAACCAGCTTAAATTGGCAAAGTCAAATGGTGTAAGGACAGAGCTTAATGTCTTCCAATTGTACAGCCAAGTAAGTAGGGAGATGAAGCTTTTCAGGAAATTAAATGTCCCCTTCAGTTCACACCCATTCCTAACACAATATAGTTGCTGAAGAGATGCATGATCTCTCTTGGTTTATTCACTCAGGGCCAGAATTAATTTTTTATTGTACTTATGTGATTTGATGCAAGGTGAAAGTTGGGTGATGTTGGGGAAAAGGATGATTAGCTCCTAATAACCTGTAATAGGGAGAGGATTATGAGAACATGCCCTTCCTACACACTGCAGTTTGTCTTCCTATTGCACTGGAAGTTGTATCTGGACAAACAGGAAGCCCTTTCAGCACACTTAAAGCACCCCAAAGGAGGCTCTGAGGGCATGGCCACAAGACTGGAAAGGGTTCATTTCTCTTCCTCAGAGTTTCATGGTGTCCTGGATCCAGTCAAGATAACGAATCACGTTTGTGTACACGCCAGGCACGTCCTTGCGGCCACAGCCTATTCCCCAGCTGATGATTCCGACCAGGTACATCCGATCACCCTGCAGACACACCAGGGGCCCTCCAGAGTCGCCCTACACAGAAGCAGCAGGTTAGTAACAATCTCCTGGTTTATTTTTGCACTGCTTTTCCCACCCCCACTGCCTTTAGGGGGGCACTGGTGTGTACAGAGCAGCCCATGTAGTGTGCTCACAAATCGAGAGCTCTTAGATGTCACGGACATGTTTTATGAAAAATCCTTTTGCTGGCATCTTTGCTCCTGAGAAGCTGAGAGGCCTCAGGAACACAATGTAAGCAATGGTTATCTGCTGCTGTGGAATGCAACAGGTGGATCTGTGATTGGTCATGTGGTTGTTTCTAATGAATGACCAATCACAGTCCGACTGTCTCGGACTCTGCTCAGTCACAAGATTTTATTATCATTCCATTCCTTTCTATTCCTTTAACGATGAAATCTTTTCTTCTATTCTTTGAATATAGTTTTAGTATATCATTTTCTTTTAATATAATATAGATCATAAAATAATAAATCAGCCTTCTGAGACAAGGATGATTAGCTCCTAATAACCTATAATAGGGAGAGGATTATGAGAACATGCCCTTCCTACACGTTGCAGTTTGTCTTCCTATTGCACTGGAAGTTGTAAGTATCTGGACAAACAGGAAACCCTGTCAGCACACTTAAATCTTCTCTTCCCTCATCCTGGGACCACCTCAAAGACCACCACACTTAGTAACAGTACTTTGACCTAAGTCACTTTTGTGTTCCAGACTCCCCTCAATGCTCCTCTTATGGGCAGAGACACAGAAAAATGTGACACTAAAGTGTCTAACTTTGTATGAAGCTCATTTATGAAATGCAGATAAAATACTGAAAAGAAAAAAGAGAGGAAGGCCCTTATTGAAGCTATAGAGATCAAAGAGGTTTTATACTGCTATGTGTAACAGTAAAGCAAAATTATTAAATAGCTGTTTAAACAGAAAGGATGTGGATTGAATGCACACCTTCCTTTTTCCTCATGTTGTTGCTCTCTACCATCTTCCAGCCTTTATTTTCTCTGCTTTCCAGTAGAGGGGCACCCCCTTCCTTCTACAGAACCTCCTGCTGAGTGCTTTGTATGCTCACATAACAGAAAATACCAGGAAATGCTGGGGTGGGTTTTCCTGTTCAGTTTTGTGGTATTTCCTGTATTTGGGATTTTCAAAAGTCTGTGTTGCTCTGGTTTGACTGCTTAAGTGTTCCCTGCCTTCCCCTCCATGAGATGAAGAGAAATGAGAGAGGAGCCACCAGTTCTGTTCATCAAAGGCCTACTAGAACTGCCATGCAGGCAAATGCACAACTTCTTTAAACTGTTTTCTGAAGCTTTTTGTTCAGTTAGCTCAAAGTACAGAGAAAAGAAAAGAGAAAAAGACCAGAATTGGGTTTTACCTTGCAGGCATCATCCAGGTGCCTTGTGTCTCCTGCACATAACATGTTCTCTGTAACTGTCCTGTTGTCCAGGTACTGTGCTGTGCACCGACTGGCTGGGAACAACCTGACATGGCCTTCCTTCAGCTGCTCTGAGTAGAATGGAGAAACTGCAAGAAAAATGACAAAATAAATATGGATCTATGTCTGTGTATGTGCATATAGATGTATTGTAAAAGTTGCAATTCCGTTTCCATAGTTTAGGGGAGGGTGAACAGAAGAAGCTCTGTGGCTAAACCAAAATTTCCTTGCAAAACAGTCTTGGGTGTTGCACTTTGATAATCAGAACAGCTTAAATCTACTTGAGAAACAATACTGTTTCTTCAGCAAGCTAGAGAGGTTTCTGCAGGCTCCAAATTCAAGACTGCCAGATTTCTTGGGTGGATAAATCATCTTTGCATAGTTACATCAATCAGAGTGAAGTCATGGGAAATGTCCATGAAAATACTTTAACTGTATGAAATAGATCCTAACTTTTTAACATTAGACTTGCACTAACAAAAGGTAAATGCTTTGTCATACATAATACTGAGTAACTGGTACAGTTATGTTGGAATGGAAGAGATTTGGGTGGTCAGTTTTGATATTGGATTTATTCTCCTGTATAGCTACAATTGCACAAAACTGAAAGTTGGCAGGATTGTTGTTATTCAGTAAAGTTTTGAATTACAGCTGCAGCATCTTTTCCCTCTCAGAGCTTTTTCTGTACTCCCTGTAAGAAATGCTGAGGACAAGCTTTAAAAGCACTTGAAAAATACTTTATGCCCCACTTTATGATCCATCTATGTCTTTAGGTCTGTTCCAAAACCCCTGTGGATTCAAACTGTGATTAGGTCTTGTATGATAAATGCTTCACAATTTTTGTCTTGTATGATACTAAGTAAAGTACTTCTAAACTAAGTTTACAAGTTAGAGAACTTAAAGAAAATGGAAAAGGAAGAAAGTAAAGTAAAGATGGAAAAGGAAGAAAGTAAAATAAGGGCTGGGGTTTTTTTTTGTTTGCTTTAAATACAGGTCTGCCTGTGTATACTTTCAGACAGCTTTTATTTCTGTTTGTTACAGCTCACTTTAAAAACAATTTAATCAGCCTTTTAATGTATATCTGGGATTGTTATTTTTTTGCTAATCTCTGCATAGCAATGTCTCTTAGAATAAGGCATCAATCTGCAACTACATGGTAGATCAAGGCTTGACAGAAATGGATTTCTGTCCAAATTACAGTATCTGAATGTGCTGAGTACAGCAGATGTGGCAGCCCTGATGGTGAATCTTATGTCTCTCCTACCTTATTCATTGTGGCTTTTTTTGTTTTTAGTTTTGTACTGTGGAGAACATCAAGGAAGACTCCACAACTGACAGAACTGAGATGAATAACTTACAGCAAAACTTGATTTTGAGTAACTCCTACACACATTTTGTAGTGCTCCTATCAGCCAATATATTACATTACACATTCAGTGGTGCTAAAGGCTTCAATTCTTTGAGGGCAGGGGACTGACTGAAGCTCTGGACATGTCCACTTGCATCTTCTACTTACATTCATCACTTTTGCCATAGCCAGAGATCTCACATTCAGTCCAGTCAGGCAGCTGCAGCTCAGGGGTGGGCAGGCAGGCAGTGCGGACAGTGCCCGTCTCCACTGCGCAATCTTCTGCATCTGAGCTCAACTGCAACAGAGCTGAGCAAGGAAAAACATCCCAGCTTCGTTAATCACAAACTCGAGCCAACCACCACCTTCCAGTCACAAAGCCAGAGAAGTTCTTACCAATATCATTGTTGAAATTGTCTGAGTCAAATCTCTGATGCACGATGTAGTTCTTCACTTCAAACTTCTGTTCGCTTTCCTCAGGAGTTGCTCGGGAAGTCCTACCCAGCACAATCTTCAGCTGATTTGTACTAAAACTGAAGCAAAGAGAGTCTCTATTCCTGTGTTACTAGAGTGGACCCTTCCCTTGAAGATGTGCTATTGGAAAGTCTGGGGGTTTTTTTCTTTTAATTTTCTTAAAATTTATTTTTATTTCAGCTCTATTACTACTTTGTTACCCAGGCAGTTTGACTTCAGTGACCTCTTTACCTTCATTTTTGTTCTGTGTGCTTACAGTCCCTTGCTGTTCTCAAGTTTCAGATGGTTCTGCATTGTGTATTGACAACTTTGTTCTCAAGGTATCTGATACTCTCCTGTGCTACCTTAATGCCATCCTGCTAGTTTGCCCAATTAAATGCCTCTCTGTAATGCTCAGCACAATTACCTATAATCTTTAGTGCAGACTTACTGGGATAAAGAGGGTTTTTCCCAACTCTTATACCCTCCCAGTAAAGCTATACTGGATGCTTTTATTTTCCAGACTTTCCCCCCCCCCATAGTACTGAATCCTCAACTCACCCTTCCTCAAAACAGTGAGCAGCAGACAAAACCCAGCAGGAGCTGATCAGAATTCCTCCACAGAGGAAGTGCTCTCCAGGCACTCGCTGGTACTTCACAAAGATGGCAGCTTGCCATGGGTGTGCTGCAATGTCCGTGCTGGAGCCACCTTTAATCCTGAACTGCCGCGCTCTGCGCTGCCGTAAGCCACAGGTGGCTGTGGATGACAAACCCAAAATTAAGATTTTTTTTTTTGTTCAGGCACTCTTGCTTTGAGTTAGGGTTAAGATCCTCCTAGTCACCAGTTCGTGTTGAGGCAGCCTGCCATGAACTATTTAGTATTTGAGTCATGCCTGTTTCCTAGGAAACTTGTATTCTGATTTGAAAAATACAGTAAGGAAACCCTGCCTTTCCTGTTCTCCATTTCTGCAATCTTCCCTTCTGGCAGAGCAAAAGGCACTCCTGTGAGAGTGGAGCCACAGAATCTTTCTGCTCCAAAAAGCTTTTCTTGTTTGTTTGTTTAACTCCAGCTCTATTTTCACTGGAAGATGCTGGACTGTAACACAGCTTTGTTTTTTTTTCTCTAGATCTTATTTTAACACAGATGACATGCAGGACAGTAATGCTTCAAAGAAAGAGAAGAATGAGGAGTGCTGGTGTCCTTACAGCAATTAGGCACATTGCAGTACTCCCAGGTGAGCTGATTTCCTTTCAGGACATGGCACCAGGGCTTGCTGTCATTGTCAGGATTTCTGCAGCAGAGGAGAGGGAAGAGCTGCTTTTATTATCAGATCTGCAGAGAGTTTGCAGAGAGCTAAAGGTGTCAGACTCAAGTGTATTCTTTTTGATTTTTCTAGAGATACAGAGGCTCTAAGGACACATTAAATTTGCACTTGCAGAGTCTGATCTTAAAGAAGCAGAAATAGGTCAGGTGGAATAAAATTCCTATTGGGAGTGAGTTTCATTGTCACCACTAATGTACTTTGTGTGCTTTACTAATCCATGTAAAAGACTAGAGCCTTGCCTTAAGAGCACTGCAAGGCAGTTTGGTGGTTTTGGTTTTTTTTAATTCTATAACCAACTACATACCTGCAGAAATTGTGACTGCCAAGGCCCAGCTGGTAAGCATCTCTTCTCCAAGCAGTGTATACCTTGTTGATGAGGATTAGAGAATTCCACTTCAAACAGGCAGCTCCAGAGCTGGTAACACTGTGGCTGCCACGGTAATCTGTGCCTCTTCCAGAGCTGCAGCTGGTGTTCCTAACTTCAACAAGAAAGCTGCACATTACCAGATTGATGTGAACCTGTCAGTTGTTCCTAGGTGTGATTTCTATCAAAGTATTTATATATTACCTCTATGTGTCTCATCATCTCAGTGTTATAAATACTAAAAGCCTAAATGCAATATAACATGAGAGTCTCAACTTTTTAGGCTACAGAAATAGCCCAAGTTCACAGAGAGCCCTTGATATATGCAGTGAATAATGGAAATTGCAAAGCCCATTCCCTGTCCATGTACCTTTTGAACAGGAGGGCACACTGCAGTGTTCCCAGGTGTACCTTCCCCCTTTGTAGATGTAGCACCAAGGTCTGGAATCCTCATCTGGGTTTCTGAAAGAGTCCCAATATTATGCATCATTACAAAGCTATTGCCATAGTGCCATGTAGTCCAGCTACTTTGCTAACTCAGTCCTGCTCTGCAGTGAAGATGTGGACTGAAGCATCAGAAGTTGCTACATTTCCTATTTGAATTATAAAACTGTGGAGTACATTGAGGTGAAGCTGAGATGGCAAACAGCAGGAGTGGACAGCATGCTTGTGCAGTTTGGGTCAGGTACAGGAAACTCTAGGGTTTTACAGTTTTGACCAGGATTTGAAGCAGTTAAGAAACTGAATTACAAATGGAGTTTAGGGAGGGCTGGGAAGGTACAAGAGGAAGAATGTGAGGTTAGAGACACTTGCATTTTGTAGTCTGCCATAAACATCCAGTCTAGGAAGATCTGAAGTTCAGATATGTCTACAGATGTTGCAATTACTGCTCAAGGGCTGCACAGAGTGTGCAGAGTGTGCCCTGCTTGCAATCTGACTATAGCAATCAGCCTTTCTTTTGCTCCAGGCTCTTTGAATGGGCTGATCCCTGGGGCTCTGACCTTCCATCAGTCCCTCACCTGCAGTAGTTGTGATTGCCCAATCCCAGCTCAGCAGCATCCTCCCTTTGGCCACTGTACATCCAGTTCACCAAGCCATCACTGTTCCAATTTAAACATTCAGCTCCACTCTCTGTCGTGCTCCAGGTACCCCTGTATGTTACTCCAGTGTCTTTGTAACATTTAACTTCAGTATCTGAACAAAAGGGGAACAAAAATGTAAGGACAGCATCCAAATTCTTTCCCAGACAGCTTCCCTAGTCTCTGTTAGGTTTAAACTTGGCTCTCAGACATCTTGTCTAGTAAGTCAGTGAAAATTCTCTGTCAGGCAGATTGTGAGTGGACATGAAGGTCTTCAGTTGCAAAATTCACAGTTTTATTAAGAGACACCTAAAACAACTCAGGTGTCCTTCAAAGTTCTTGTAGTAATAGCTTGAGAATAAAAAAAGACAACTTATTAGAGAGCCTAGCCTGCAGCAGGAGCTTCTGGTACCTCATCCTTGTGCACTGCACAGCTAACATCACTAGCATTGCTCACAGCAGCTGGTGTGGTGCACTCACCTATTTCACACTGCTTCCCTGAGAAACCTTGGTGGCACTGGCAGATGAAGAGCTGTGGGGAATAATATGCCTGTGAACATTGGCCCCCATTGTAGCATTTATTTCTAGTGCAGACTGTGGAATAAGCAAAAGCCAGGAAATACTGTTAGATTTCACAGAAGCAAGAAACTGGCAATGTATACACACCTTTCATTTTCCTGTCAGTCTCCTTTAGCCTGTTCTGTTTTGCCCTACCCACCTGTTATTGCCCAGCCTTTTTATGCAGTGCTTCCATTCTTTCTTTGCTTTTCTTTTCATTCCTATCCTCTTCTCTACCCAGACAAATTTTCTGTGCAGTAGCTGTGGCCCTGGCTGTTCTTTTTTAGGATGATTAGATGGACAATCTCTCAGCATCTCCTTTTTCTTTGTCATACATACCTCTGACAGGCACGGTGTGGCACCGGCTCCGGCCACTGTCACACCTACAGTATTCTATTCTGCTCCCTGAACGCCTCAGCCAGGTCCCCCTGTGTTGGTAAATTGCTGCAGATGAATTATCTGTGCAAATGGCTGTAATCAGAGAAAGGAAACCTTCTTTTAGAGATGCAGGGAAAAGACCTGGCTGAGCAAAAGGACTCTGTTGCAGACATCTTTCATGAAAAATCCTTTCTTAGGATTTTTCCTTGTGAGAAGCTGCAGTTTCAGCAACCAAAAATAACCAATGGTGTTATCTGCTGCTGTGGAATGCAACAGGTACACCTGGGATTGGTCTCCTGTGGGTGTTTGGATTTCCTGAGCACTCATGGCAGAGCTGGCTCTTGCTCTGGCTGAGACACAGATCTTTGTTATTCATTCTTGTCTATTCTTAGCTTAGCTGGCTTCTGAAGAAACCTTTCCTTTATATTTCTTTCTAGTATAGTCTTAATGTAACATACATCATAAAATAATAAATCAAGCCTTCTGATCATGGAGTCAACATTCTCGTCTCTTCTTCATCCTGGAAACCCTCGTGACCATGGTCACAGGACTCCCTTCTGTTTCCAGGAGAAAAGTAGGAGAAAGATGGGAGCATCTGTCTAATGGGTTGCCCTTTTTCCTTCTCAGACCACAGCTGTCCCATCTCTCTCTCTGCTGTGCTGCCAGATGTCCTATTTCACTATTGGCTGACCTCTTTTTATTTCAGGAAAAACAGAGGGAAGGGAAAACTTTGTTGTGGATGCTATTAATGGTCTGGTATTTTGCTTTTTGACTCTCTCATCCACATAACCATGACAAAAAGCTTTCAGGCTCTGTTTCTTCAACATCATTTGCTTTCCCCTCCCATGTTCATACTGCTCCAGCTAAGATGGTTTTAGTTAGTCTGGCTTACCTCTAGATCTGGCCCCTCGTTTGAAACGCGTGAGTAAGCCCTGCAAGCAGAGAAGTGAATTCTGTCAGTGACTGCTCTCTGCAAAATATGAGAGAACAAGGACCTTCAAAGAGTCAGGCCTTTTCTTCAGGGAGTCAGGGGAGCTCTGAGGAACTGCCTGCCCTCTTCTCAGTCAGTCCAGTGAAAAGTGCCTCTGGTACCTCAGGATGGCTTCCTAAGAATTGTTAATTGTTTAGTTGCCACTGATTACCAGGTGATTGCTGGTCACTCAAATGTAACATTAATTCCTCTGGTTTCTGGTGAGCTAAGCAGACTCTCCTGCCTGATGCAGGCAGCTGGAGTCAATGCTAAGGAAGTGCTGCTGGAAGATGGCAAGAGAATGATTTGATGCATTGGCCTCTGACCTGGCACTGGGCAGTCATGATTGCTCCCACCAGCAGAAGGAGACATGGGAGTTTGCCTTCCATTCTGAGTGTTTTCCACATCAGTTCCAAATCTCAAATTATCTGTAGAGACAAAAAATAAGATGTTGAACAAAGGAGTTTTACAGTGTGTGTTTTCTCTCTTCCTTTTACAATATAATACCTCCTCTACAAACCAAGAGCTGGGACTGTGATAGAGTAGCAGGCACAAGATCCAGGCAAGCAGCTACACTTTAATTTCCAGTCTCTAGGATTGCCCTGTAGTTCCAAATATTTGAAATAATATTCCAGCACCGTTGCCCACACTATCACCTTTTTATCATCTATGTTATATGCAGAAAGCTAACCCAATTATCTGAGAAAATTACTGCTTCCAGAAATCATGAGCTCAGACTGTTTATATAAAGGCAGAGAAGGCAGCTGGATAACAGCTGGTGAAACTGAAGTATGATAGATGAGTCATGAATTGGGATTCAAGGCTAACATGGAGAAAGACTCTGTGGTTTTTTAGTAGTTTTGTTGTTGGGATTTTTTTGGTTGTTTGTCTGTTTTAAAATTTGTTCAAAGCAAAAGGCACAAACAGCCCAGTTTCTGAAGCAGAACCAGGAGTACAACAGGATGTGATTTCTCATCATCAGGCTGCAAAAAGAAGGGACTTAAGTTGCAAGTCAGACTGAAAAGATTCACAAGAACATCTTCTGAGAACCCTAATTACTCCACACTTTATCTTTGGGTCACATCTTGATGGTAAAATCCTTTTAATTTGGAGCATCTCAGCGATTTGTATTGGTGCATAGATTTCACAGTACACTTTTTATATACTTTCAAGCTATTTGTCACCTCTTAGGAAACATTTTGCTTTGTACAGCAAGCCTTTTTAAAAGTGCTACAAGTGATTTTCAATGAATTGATGTTCAACATTAATTTCAATTGAATCTGAACGAAATCAGCAGCATTCCCAAAGCCAAAGTGCATGATCTGAACTGCTCCAGTCCCCTGCTTTCTGCCCTAACTCTGCACAGTGTCCTCACTCCCTGTAGCTCATTATTACAGCTCCCCAGGCTTGTGCTCTGCATCCCACAGCAATGGTTTAACTTGCTGATTGTTGGTATCACAGGTGATCTTTGTTGTTACCTGTGGAGAGCAGGTCTGAAGTTCTTACAACTGTAAGAAACAAGGCTCTGGTAGCTAAGATGCATTCAAGGAAAGCTTTGTTCAGTGAAACTACTCAGATCACAGTTGCTGCATTGTTAGAATTCCTGCCTGTGGAGACCTTATTTCAGAGGTGCCTGCTAGCATGCCCCAAAAACAAGGCAATGCCACGTTTTTTATATTTTGTTTTTTGGGTTTTTTGTTTCTTTTGGTTGGTTTTCTTTTTTGGTGGGAGTTCAGCTGGCCTAACTGATATCTTGGAAGAAGTCCCAGCTACCTGAAACCAGCAGGAAACTGCAGATCATTTTCAGGGGGTAGCAAGAAACATCTTTTAAACTCCAAAATGTCATTTTTATATTTTCTTTGGCTGGAAGACTGACATGAGGAGTCTCTATTTAAAAAGAACCTGCATGGCTTAATCAAGTTCATCTCATATATTCATCTGTACAAGCAGGTTCTAGCTGTACACAGCAAGTGTTTATACTGCAAAATGCTGTAGGCAGTCTCTAGAACAGACTTCTGTTTCTGGGGGGAAAGAGCTAAAAATCCAAAAGAAAACAAAAGTAAGATGCTGTAGTCTTTGAAGACATTGGAGGAAATGAATATTTTGAAGTCTTTGTTTCTGGAATCATTCACAGTATTTCCTGTGGTTTTGGCCACATTTAAGGAGAAGATGACCACCCCTGCTCCTCCTCTGTGTCCCTCCATTATCATGCCTTGGAACCTGGGGTGAGAGCCATAGTCTCATCTCCTCCTGAGAAGATCAGATAAATTCTCCTTTTGCAGTTCTCTGTGCCTCCTTACCTTAGCATCAAGTTATTTGTCCAGAACTTTAAAGTTCTTCTGCCAATGCCCTTTGTGCAGGAGACTCCTCCTTGCTGAACTGGTCAGAGCCTGAGGCTGCCAGCCCTTTCCCTGGAATGCTTCAGCTTTCTTGAAACAACTGAAAGGCAGCAGCTTTATCTACACTATGAATCTCTTCAAAAGCAGGAAGGCAAGAGCTCAGTTAGTTAACTATCATGGTGCTTCACTTATTAAATTGGGATTTATTAAATATTAATATTTAATAGTATTTCATGACAATGCCATTGACGTGGAAAACAGGAATCGCCCTTTTTGAAACAGGTGCAGAGTAGTGCCTACCTTTTTTTATTTTTTGCTTTCTCTCTTCTGTTTCCTCTTGATTTTCTTTCCAGACCAGTCTTGCTCTGTGTTTTCCCGTGTCTCTGCTCTGATTTCTCTGTGCTGCTCGCAGCGCCACTGGAGGGGGCGGAGCTGGGCCATGGGCGTGCTGAACGCATCCCACCCCTTCCCGAGCATCCCGGGCACGGTCCGGCCAGGGGGACGGTCCGGGCAGGGGGATGGTCCAGGGGGATGGTCCGGGCAGGGGGATGGTCCAGGCAGGGGATGGATGGTCCGGGCAGGGGGATGGATGGTCCAGGGGGATGGTCCAGGCAGGGGATGGATGGTCCAGACAGGAGGATGGATGGTCCAGGGGGATGGTCCAGGCAGGGGATGGTCCAGGCAGGGGGATGGTCCAGGCAGGGGATGGATGGTCCAGGGCAGGGGATGGATGGTCCGGGCAGGGGATGGATGGTCTGGCCAGGGGGATGGTTCAGGCAGGGGGATGGATAGACAGGCAGGGGGATGGATAGACCAGGCAGGGGATGGATGGACCAGGGGGATGGACCAGGGGGATGGATGGACCAGGGGGATGGATGGTCCAGGCAGGGGATGGATGGTCCAGGGCAGGCGTCCGGACTGTTGGGGAGGGAGCCCGTGCAGGACAGGACGAAAGCTGCTCGCTGCCATGCTGCTGGATTTCACATTTGGCTTGTTTTGTTCTTTCTCTTTTCCAGTCAGAGAGCAGATTCAGGTTTCAAAACAATTTTTTTCCCCCATTGAACACCTTATTGTTCAATGTGATGAACTATCCTGTCCCATGATGCTTCTAGGAGCGTGAGCGAAAGCACAGCTGTATTATTTCTAATATAACTAGAAGTTTGCAGTATGTAGACTTAATCCTAATAATTTCACACACAAGTGTGCTGTATTCCTAATTAAGATGTTTGGCAGAGAGGCCCTGACCAGCTTGTGGAGCAAAGCATTGCCTTGAACAGTCATGGGAGAAGAAACAGTCACGGGAGCTTTCAAGTTAAATGAGCAAAACTTCTTGGAACTTTAGATACAAATAAGGAACAGCATGTCCAGGGCCAGAGTTAAATGTTCACTGATATTACTCATCCTAGAAAATGAAGATTTATTCATCAGAATGTGGTCATGAGGTATTCAGTTATCAAAGTGTGGCAGGCAAATGTGATTTAGATTTTTTCAGTTTTAGAGCTGATCTTAGGGCACTGGTATGAAAACAGCCAGTGCTGCAATTGTTGCAGTGATCAATGTGTCCTACCTGCTTGGAACTCAGGCTGTGACACACTTGCAATCAAGCTCCTGACAGAATTCAGTGTCAGACATAAGAACCAGTGTGTGAGGGACTTCCATTTTCAGAAGCAGCTGCGTGGAGTCCTCATTTGGAAAGCACAGCACTGGATATTTTGCATAATGGTAAAGAGAAATGCTGGGTACTCTGTGTGTTTATCTCCTCTCTGCATGGAGATCTATGTCAAGACTATAAATTTTATTTCTCCAAGAGTCACAGTGCTGGTGATAACATTACTGCCATAAATCTAAGTGTAGCTGCATTTGACTGTTTCTGGACTTCCAGTTGTTGAGGTGGAACACTGCTGAGCGAGCAGGGGCTAATTTATTTTATTTTTAAAGATAATAGCCATTTGATTTCTAGGTTAAAGATGCTAACAAACTGATGGCCATGGGGTAAGCTTGCAGAAATTATTTCCTTTTCACAGCTTAAGGACCACTATAATTATCTACAGAGTGTGGTGCCATTTGTAGGGCTTAACATATTTTAGGAAAGTGTCTGCTCTTTCAAGCACCATCTACTGGCTTTTCTCTAAGTCGATCCTCGGGATAATTTCAGCCGGACTGTTTAATGGCAGGGATGAGGTGCGACACCGTGACATCCCACGGCAGGTCCGTGTCACCCTCTGTGCCCGGTGCCTTTGGCAGGTCCAGCGCAGGCGATGGGAGTTGCGGCAGATCTTGGAACGCGCTTTCCACCCCCGTACTCTTAAGTGTCTTTGCAGCGGCATTAAAGCACCTCACGCCAGCCAGCCCAGGAGGAAGAAGTATCCAAACCCGAAGGAATGCCCAGAATAGCGCTTTTGCTCGGGCGGTGCGCTGGGCAAACCAAACGCTGCGTTCCGGATTGACAAATTTTAGAGATGCTGTGGGAAGAAGACACCAACACTGCAATTTTACTTACACAGCCCACGAGCTGTCCTGTCCTCTCATCCCGAGCCCCTGGCTCCAGGCGGTACCGCGGCGATCGGGGCGGCGATCGCGGTTCCACCGGGGCGGCCCCGCTCGTCCCCTTTGAGGGCGGCGATCGCGATTCACCCGGGGCGGCCCCGCTCGTCCCCTTTGAGGGCGGCGATCGCGATTCACGCGGGGCGGCCCCGGGTGCCGGCGTCCCCTTTGAGGGCGGCGATCGGGGCGGCCCCGGGCGGGCCGAGCGCCGGCCCCGCGCGTCCCCTTTGAGGGCGGCGCTCGCTCCGGAGCCGGAAGCGCCGGGCCCGCGGAGCGCAGCGGAGCCGGGCCCGCCATGAGCCGCCCGCCCGCGCTGCAGGCGCTGACCTGCGGGCCCTGGGAGATGCGGGAGCGCCTCGGCACCGGCGGCTTCGGCAATGTCATCCGCTGGCACAACAAGGTAGGCGGCGGCCGGGCCCGCGGCGCCCCGGCTCGGGAGCCGGGCTCAGCCCAACTCTTGCTGTGTCCACAGGAAACCGGCGAGCAGGTGGCCATCAAGCAGTGCCGGCAGGAGCTGAGCCCGCGCAACCGCGACCGCTGGGCGCTGGAAATCCAGATCATGAAGAGGTGAGGCGGGCGGCGGTGCTCTGGGGCCGGGCCCGGTGCCCGCTCGGGCCGGGCCGGGCCGGGCGGAGGGGTCGCCGCTCGCTGTCGCGTCGGTGGCGCGGCGGGGGCGGCCCTGGAGCGGAGCTGCGCTGAGGGAGGTGCTGGGAGAGGCTTTGGGCCGCCGGGGATTCCCTTCCGGGAGGTGCCCGGTCCGCAAGTGCGTGGAAGTTGACGCGTAAGGAAATTCACGTTGTGCTGCGTGAGGCTCTTGGGTGTCACGCTGCCGTCTGCGGCTCGTCTGCCGAGCCCTCGGCGCTACAGCAACGCTGCTGCCTGGCCTGACTTAACGTCTGTGCTGGGGCACTCCCTTGGGAGGTTTTTTCATTTTTCATTTTTCATTTTATTTTCGGGTGTAGTGGTCTGATTGCAGTTTGGGTCTTTTCTGGACGGTGGCAACAGACTGCCTCGCGTTCCTTTGCAAGGTTTGTTGCTGTACGTTCTAGACAGGTCTGTAATGCACGTGTGTTGAAGAAACACATTGGCTTGCATGTGAAATGCCAGGGATTGGAATGAGTCCAGATCCGTGAAAGATGCAAACCTTTAGAATTCACTAATTTAGTTTCCGAAAGGATTTGTGACCATGTAGGACTTTAGGTGATGACCAGGAGCACGTGAACCTGTACTGCAGTTGCAGAAAATCACATGTACTTGCCTGATTTTTGTTCTGCAGACTGAACCATCCCAATGTGGTGGCTGCCCGCGATGTCCCTGAGGGGATGCAGAAGCTGGCACCAAATGACTTGCCACTGTTGGCCATGGAGTACTGCCAAGGTGGAGACCTCCGCAAGGTGAGGTCCCTTGGGTGGTAACCAAAGAATGGATCGGCTTCTAATCTTATCCTAGGTTTTCCACTGAAGTTTTGCCTTAAAACCTTTGCTTTCACATCCTGATGCTTCCTAATTCTAGTCGTGGCATCAACAGGTGTTGGTGGCTTGGTCCTTGGTATTGTGTTCAGCTTTTGAAGCCTTACATGCTTTGTGAAACTTTTTATTTTTTTGGATGCAAGCGACACTGTGAGGAGTTGGTACATAAAGAATGAGGGCAAGTGCTAAGGGATGTGCAACAGCATGTGAGTATGGCCAAAACCATTGTAGGGTAGGTGCATCTGTAGGCTGTGCCCTTCCTGAAAGTGATTAACTCCTGCCTGTCATAGGAAGAAATAACACATGATAGTTCTAATCCTGAGGCTTTTCTGACCTTTGCTACAATCTGCCCATAGCTAAAACACAGACCTTAGGCCTGAGATTGGAGTTGATACTGGCAGGCACAGGGGAAATGGCAAAGAGGGATGGAACAGACAGAAGGATGAGAATAGGATGACAGTGACTTCTCTTACCTGCTCCTTTATCCTGCCATGCAATTAAACCAAGGCTGGTTTAATTACAAAGCTGTAATTGCTGCTACTACAGGTCACAGTGCATAGAGTTTTGTGCTTCTGGAGAATTTAATTGCTGGTGCTGAAATTTCTTGCTGAATACCTGAGAATTTGTGGGACTGTGAGCCTCACTCAGGATAGAGGAGGGAAAGACTGCATTCTGTGTTGCTTACTTGCAGTACCTGAACCAGCTGGAGAATTGCTGTGGCCTGCGGGAAGAAGCTATTCTTATCTTGTTATCTGACATTGGTAAGTGCTGGCAGTACCTTCAGTTCTCTGAGCTATGGAAACCCTTTTAGTCCTGAATCCACTCTCCAAATACCCAGCAGTGACCTTAGTGACTCCATTTTAGACTGACCTTTTATGATCTTGAACATCAAAAGTGTTGGGAGTCTGGGGAGGTCCTTGGCCTGGAAGGTGGCCAGCATTAGTTCAGTTTAAAGGAAGGATGTGGGGGAACAGCCAGAGAGAGAACTCAGTTGTGTCCAGAGTTCTATGATGCTAACTTTACCCCTTACACTTAGTGTTTGATTGCACAAGGTTTGATGTGAAAGCCATGCTTATTACCAGATAGAACTGAATCCTTACTGAGCTCGTGCTAGGTGCTGTTGCTTTTGCTCTTACAATTGGCTCTTTCTGTGTCTCAGCTTCTGCTCTCAGATACCTTCATGAGAACAGGATCATCCACAGAGACTTGAAACCAGAGAACATTGTGCTGCAGCAAGGAGAACAAAGGGTAAGCAGGAAGCAGCTGTCTCTGCCTGCACAGACAAGGCAGCTCACAGGGAGCATGCATGGGCTTCATGCAGTTACATGGTCCCTCTGCAAGAGCACTCAGCCCAGGATAACTCCTGTCTCAGGTCACTGGGTCAGAGGAACAGTGTTCTGTGTGCAGCTGAGATGAGACATTGTATTAGACATCTGTTAACACCTGAAATTTTGACTTTCAACTATTAAGGAAAGAGCCAGTTTGTACTGATCAAAGGTTGGAAGGAACTAGATGTGTAACTGCTAAGTGTGCTGCAACACCTTCAAATTCATTGTGGTTTTAGAAATCTACAGTAGCCTCCTGTTTCTACTTCTGTCTCTTCACTGGCACCTTTCTGGTGTAGCTTTGAGGAGCTGAACCTTTTCTTTCTGCTGTATATGATGTGCTTTTAACAGGACTTTGGTCTAGCATTCTTATTCTCTGTTGTGTGTTTCAGTTAATACACAAAATCATTGACCTTGGTTATGCTAAGGAGCTGGATCAGGGCAGCCTATGCACATCCTTTGTTGGGACTCTTCAGTACCTGGTAAGAAAGGAATTCAGCTGGAAGAGCAGCTACTGCTTTCTGCTGGGGTAGCATTAACTGTAATCAGGATTTGGGCTGGGATTAGGGTTAGGGTTAGGGTACTTGTGTGGGATTAGGTACTTGTGTGGTACGAGGTGTGTTTGTGGTGCTGAAGCTAGCAAAGGTGACTGCTTTTTTTGCTGACACTGGCTTTTCTGCTAGTTGCTTCTGTTACAAATAAGCAGCAGTGCCAGTCACCAGGAGTGCTGCTCACTCCCAGAGGGTCTTAAAGCGTGCGAGAGGCAGCGCTCAGCAATGCCTTGAGTCATTTGTACAAATGTTAATGGGCTAGAGGAAGCTCAGAGCTTTGTCTCATGTGTGTGCAAACTGTGCCAGGCTCCAGAGCTGCTGGAACAGCAGAAGTACACAGTGACAGTGGATTACTGGAGCTTTGGCACACTCGCCTTCGAGTGCATTACGGGCTTCCGACCATTCCTCCCCAACTGGCAGCCAGTGCAATGGTGAGTGAGCCCTGCCTGGGTGATGAGTGGGCATGATGTGACTTTCCTGTTCACAGGAGGTACAAGTGTGGTCCCTTGATTCTGAGGAGAATATCCCTGTGTTCCTTGCCCTTATGGAAACACCCCCCTTTGACCCACCTGAGCAAGTTCAGCATTCCTGAATGGGACAAGGGCTGACTCCTGCAGGGCAGATAACAGAAACCCAAGTGGCATCTGTATTATATCTGTCAAGAGTAGCTTTAAGAGCCTAATGACTTGCAGGATGGGAAAGGCAGGCAATTATTTCACCATTGTGCTTGCTTACATTAGGCATACAAAAGTGCGTCAGAAGAGTGAGCTGGATATTGTTGTTTCAGAGGACTTATCTGGAGAAGTCAAGTTTTCTAGCAGTCTGCCCTGCCCAAACAATCTGAACAGGTGAGTACTAGAAATTGCTGTGCTGAGATAAACTGATCCTTCTGCAGAAGGACCAAGATTATATTATATGCTTTATAAATTGAGTGCATGACACAGGCAGTGCTATTGTCACTTGTCAGTCTTGGTTTCTGCCTTCTAAACACTGCATTTGTGATAGGGAGAAGTGGGGGGGAGTTTTGTTAGTCCTCCCACACAGAACAGGCCATATGGGTACTGCAAATGCACTTTTTCCTCTTCTGATCTCCTGGTTTTTATTGCTCAGTGTTTTGTCTGAGAGGCTGGAGAAATGGCTGCAGCTCATGTTAATGTGGCACCCACGTCAGAGAGGTACAGATCCCACATATGGACCCAATGGGTGTTTCAAAGCTTTGGATGACATTTTGAACTTGAAGGTAAGCAATGGGTCTGTATTACCCTGAAAAGTTCTCCAGAGAGTAGTTGCCTGTTGTCTGTGAGAGGAGAGGCTTGAATCATAGACTTAGGAGGAAGAGTGAGGCAGAAATTCGTGGAACTGTCTCCTGACAGTTGGTAGCAGGTGCTTTCCTCTTGCTTCTTTGAGGACAAATACTCCCTGAGCTTGTTAGGAGTAGTGAAAGTTTCTGTGCATGCTTAGTTCCATATTCTGATGGAGGATTCTACAGCTGGAGGTATTTAGTTGCCATGTGGCCTCTCACTTGATGGAGGACAAGAGCTTTGCCATAATGTTAGGAATTAACTGCAGAGTGACTTCCTGAGTCTGCCAAGTGCTTTGAATGGTTTTTGGTGGTCATTGTCTCAGTCCCTCCATCTCTGCTCTAACATGAGCAATGCATCTTCAGCCTTTCTCATGCCATGCTACTCCTCTTGCAGTTGCTTCATGTTTTGAACATGGTTACGGGAACTGTGCACACCTACCCTGTGACAGAGGAGGAGACTCTGCAGAGTGTGAAGGCC